TTTCTCTTTGCGCTTTTTTCCGTTTGCGCTTTTTTCTGTTTGCGCTTTTTTCTGTGTGCGCTTTTTTCTCTTTGCGCTTTTTTCCGTTTGCGCTTTTTTCTCTTTGCGCTTTTTTCTGTGTGCGCTTTTTTCTCTTTGCGCTTTTTTCCGTGTGCGCTTATTTCCGTTGCGCTTTTTGATTTGCGCTTTTTTCCGTTGCGCTTTTTTCCGTTGCGGTTCTTTCCGGCCACCGTTTGTCGGAGATAGTGTAGCTTTGTGTGAAATGGTTCTCATTAGTCAGCGTTGAAATTTTGAAAACACTTTAAAGCTTGCTATCTATTTTACACGTCAGGAAAAATAATTTGTTCTGAGTAATCTCATTAAAAACAGAGGCATTGCACATTGCAGTTTAATGTTTAATAATAGTAACACAAATATGCAGTAATATGAATGTATCTGAACGAGATGTATAAAATTGACGTCTTAAAGACAATATCACAAACTAGATGCGTTATACGTCATATGCGCCATATCACTGACCAAGTGAATAAGACGTCATTTGAACCATATCACAAACTAAGTGTATGTGACGTCATATGGACAATATCACAAAATGTATAAGATATTTATGAGTTCATACTGTCTTTAAACCAGGTATCTAACTAGGATCAGAGGATCAAATTCGGTTTCTCTAGCCTTAGAAAAACCCCACCGAATAACTTTCTAGAAGGTAGGTTTTCCGAAAGAGTAAACCATTCCTGGGCTAAACTACTTCCCCGTCCAACAAGTCAAGCCCTCAAGATTTTTACTGGGAAACTCTCTTGTGTGGGCAATGCTGTATTGCTGATCAGTCAAGCGACAATACGATCAAGGTTAATTGGGGGGAAAACGCACAAATTACCTGGGAAAATTTTAATATTTTAAGAATGATGCAGCTAACTATGATTTAACTGCTACGCCATTCTGTAACTGTGTTTCCATATGTCATTATGTGTCAAAATGTAAATGCTTAAAGGAATGCACAACTAAAAATTGCACGGGAATGCGTCAAATAAAATAGCAAATAGGCCTACACCTAGCTGTGACCTAGCGCACACAAAAAAAAATTTGGGCAAAACGAAATTTTCACATAGAAAAATGTGGTCTTGACCAGATAATCTCCGCCAATAAGTCAACCCACGCGACCAAAAAATATTATCGAAAAATTATATGAAACGTGTACTTTTAGTTTTTAACCCTAACCCTCACCTTAACCCAAATCCTAACCCTAGCCCTAGTCGGATAAGGAGTTGTTTTTATGGCGTGCGTTTAAATATTCAAATGTCTAGATTCTTAGACATCAGAAATAGGTCAAGGTTGCGTGCTGGCAAAAAATGGCGGGGTCAAACTTTTCGCCCGGGCCCTATTTACATTAGTGGCGGGGCTTATCTGGACATGATCCGAAAAATCTGCAAAGAGAAAATGTGCTCGTGCATAGTTTCTTCCAACTATCTCTTCGTCTCCCCGACCCCCCCCCCCCCCCCCGTAAAGAAACACTGTTCGTGTAGTCTTGACATTGTGGAAGTGTAGTCAATGTGTAGAGCCCCCAATGTCTAAACAAGAAGTGTCAAAGCTCCTAGTTTGCGATTATGATGGCGATATTAACTAGAGTCTATTAGGTTCTTAAAAAGCTCAAAAATATTGGGTTGGGTACCTAATTTTCTGTAGTCGCTGGGTAATGGATATGCTAAGGGACTGAGTCACCATTGGGCAGTGGTCACAGTCAGTGCCACGGTTTGGTCTAGAGAATGTTTAGGACTTTTACCGATTCCATTTCCATATTTTTAAACACCTCGTGCACTCGCTCTTATACTGACTTAAATTAGCCTACCTAAGTTCATCAGCTTTATAAAATCTTATAGTTAGATCTATATTGTTTTGATCTGAGAAGGTCAACATTAAACGTGCAGTGAAACGTGGATTCAGTGTTTCTTCCAGACTTTTTTCTCCGGGGGGGGGGGGGGGGGCACTTGAAATTTTTGGGGAGGGGGGCGGTAGACTTTCTTCGGGGGGGGGGGGGGCGGACACTGTTAAAAGTATATATTTTCTATATAAATTATATAAATTTCATTTCGTTCGGGGGGCGGTAAAATTTTTTCGAAGAGATGCCTGGAAGAAACTCTGCGTGGATTACGCCCAGACTTCCGAAAATAACTAGATCTAGATACAAAATACAATACAATCATAGAATGTGTACGTTACATTAAATGTCCCCAATGTTACAGTGACTTTCCTGTACTCATTAATGTTTAACATTTTATATACGACTTAGTGACTCAAACAGGATGCGATAAAATGAATTCGCAGCTTAACGTATGTTGCGCTGAATCGAATAAGATTCTCTATATCTAGAAATCTAGGTATCAAATAACTGAAGCTGTCTACAGTAGTCGACACGGTTTAAATTTTTTTTGTTAAGAAACCGTCTATTTATCGGAATATTTTTTTTTAAAGCGAAAAACCCAGCACAGGAAACGTGTGTTTCACGCTTGGGTAGAGTTAACAATAGATCGATGCAGCATACCTTAGGCAGTTAGGCGCCTATTAAATGTTAGATCCATTAGAAAAGTTAGGAGACATGTTAAGTTAGGTTTCAGCCTGAGACACACCAACAATGAGTAGCCTACATTCCCACACACAGTCCACTTTACCTTGGGTGACGTCACTAGTTGAACCGCAACTCTTCCCCCCCCCCCCCCCCCCCCATATTGTTATTTCAGCTGAATTAAAAAAATGTAAGTAAATCATTCAGAGTTTTTAACTCATTTGTTGCCGTGTCGCTTCCCTTTGGCGCCCGGAAAAAAAAGTTATTTAGGGGCCTAATCAAATTTAAGTATTTACTAGATGTAAATAAAAAAGATCCGAATGATCAGCTTAATCAGTTGAACTACCCAACTGACCTATTTACTGAATACTAGTCCAATGGTTGATGCTGATCCACACTGCTGCATTTCTGGCTTGTCTTTTAAATTGTATAGTCTTGAACTAGGCCTACTTCCTTTTCAAAAGCTTTCTTAACAGATTTAAGAACAGCTTATTGATTTTTGTCTATTTAAATTTATTTTTTTAATGTCTTTCAGAGGCATATTTTCTTTAAATTTAAATGTGTTAAAATTGGAACAACAAAATGTCTTCCATTTCTGCATCAAAACAGAAATTTTAACACAATAGAGTTCTAAGTAAAACATTTATTTTTCTACAATAATTTCCCTGAGCCCTGCAGTTTTCACTTTGGATGTTGCTGGAGCTCCATGTCTGAGCATTTTGACACCTTTCCTTTTTAAATACATCTAACCACTCGGTAAGAATTATTTCTGTTGACATGACTACATAAAATGTAGATTGCAACACATAAAAGCAAGTGTTTGATATCCATTGTCTATGGACTTTGTAATCATGGATGTAGAATTTTTGTTTACTAGACTTCACCATTGTTTAAGTCATGTTTATAGGTTTGCACAAAAGTTTCTGCAAGTTACTTTTTGTTCTGTTTCAATCTTATGCAGCAGAGGTGGATCCCTCACCCACCATACCCCCTTGACCTCTATCTATAACATCATCATGGTAACTAGTATTGATATATCTTTAACATCATGACGGTAATTACTAATTATTAACCATAAATCTTAACATCATGAAGGGGGAAATGATTATTATACTTTAACATCATCGTGGTAAGAATAAATTGATTATCTATATTTAAATGATTGTTGACAAGAGAATAGTAAAAACACAAATAAAGTAAATATGTCAAAAACAAATTTTGGAATATAACTTATTGAATTTATTTCACATCTGTGTATAACAATATTTAATATTTAGAAAAAAAAATTATCACTTGTTTTATTTACATACTTCTCACAATTAATGTGATTTTTCTGGTGCATAATGTAATAGTATTAACCTGTCAAACTAAAAATTGGGGAGCCTGGTCAAAATATAAATGCATCATTTACTCATTACTAATGAGTTGCTAAAAAAAATTACTGAAGTGACTGATGCTGATCGTCTATATATTTTGCAGTGAACAAAATATAATTTATGAAAGCAATAAACCAGTGTAAAATCTGGTGGCAACATAGATATAATAAACATTAAACTTGTCTTAAAGTTGGAATTTTCTACATTTCTTTTACTGAGCACATTTCTATGAAAATCTGTTCGTGAGCTTTGTTTGGTATTGCGCATAAAAGTTAGGCTTAAGCTAAGAGAGAAGAAAATTGAAGAACATCATTCTGGGTTCTTACGTGAAAAAAAAAAATAACATGGCGCTGACTATACAGTCCTACATAGGCCACATCACATCTAAAAAAGTTTTACACAATGTGTTGACATTGTTAAATTTCATGTTTGGTTTTGCAACATCTAAAATGGACATTGTACCCACAAATTGGTCATCTTTTGCTTTTATAAGCAAAGAATCCTGACATTGTAAAGCATAAGAAATGTTTGACTGTTCTCTCATATATCAAATGTAACTATAAAATAAATCAGAATACTAATGGAAAATTTAATGAGTGTAAAGAAACAACTTGCTCCTTAACTCTTATGACAGACTGTAATTAGAATAGTTATTTCACTTTATAAAGTGGAAAGCATCAGCATCAATCGCTTCACAGTGTGGTTAAGTCATCAATAATCCACTATGGATGCTGATTGCTTGTCATTGGTCTAATACACTAAAATGTAGATTTCTCAATTTACAAGCTAAACAATTGCACAAATATATTGTTCTGAATGAATTATATTATATAAAAATAATTTTGCAAATTTAAAAAAAAATGAAAACACAAGTAATTAAACTTATACATCAAAATGATACTGGGCATTTTATTAACTGAAACTTAGGGTTTGGAGGAAAACCCTCTTTTCAAACCCAACCCTACACCAAATATTTTGGGTACAAAAGTTTAGTTTACAGGCACCCATGATGACAATCAAGAAAAACAATATGAATGTGTTTTAGTTAAAAAACACTAGCATAGGCATATTTTAAAGCAGGTTGCTAATGCTATGCAATCTTAATTCAGGTTGCTATGCAATCTTAAAGCATGCTGCTTTTCAATCAATGAAATTCATCCAAATAGATAGTTTGCCTCCTCTAATTTGCTGTAAAGGCTGTTACAGGTGAGGTTTATATATCGGTGCTGGCATGTCAATCGATGTATAGTAAAGCACAAAGGCAGCTGAGCTCTGAAAAAATTTTCATTACCATTTACATTTTTTTAATTTAGGCTGAGCCTTCACTTTTGTTTCACATTCTTTAAAAACCTGACAATATATTATTGTTTTGTTTTAGTATTCAGGGACAATAAAGTACAAAAAATTTGTAAAAAAAAAACAAACCTTCACATCAGAGCTTGATATTTCGTACACATCTAGGTCATCAAATTTGTACCATTTTTTATTGACAGTGTTGCGGCAAAATGCTGTGTCTGAAATAGCAGATTTTTAAATAACTTCAATTTCTCTTGCACAGACATCAAGTAAAAATCAAATGTGCTGGCTTTAATTACAATGACTTAAAGATTTTTGTAAAACCTGATGAAACCACAAAACAGAGACGGATTGTGAGAAAAATCTTTAGACATATAAGATAGACCTGATCTTCTAGAAAGGGTTTCAGCTATGGTAATATTTGCACTGGAAAGTGTAACTGCTGGACACTAGGGCTGTAACACGGAAACTGTAGTGTCCAATAAATTTACTTTCATACATTGGGGGGGGGGGGGGGGGAATCTATTATTTTTTAGAATAAAAATCGTGTAAAGTATTTACTTACAATGACCACCTTCCATTGTACCATAATGATTCTGTGGATAAGTCATGATAAATAAAAATCTAAGACCACATTTCTTGGGTTACAAAATACTGAATGTTATTCTTCCAGTATTAGAAAAATACTAACAACAAAGATCAACTTAAAATGAATAATAAAAGTGGAGAAATTAATGCTAATGTTCTACTGCTTTAGGGTTTAGGCAATTTTCTTTCTTTTGATCGGATTTTTGACCAATGTTTTAAAGTGCTATTCATAGTCAAGCTGGTGCATCATTAAGGTGGAAACATAACTGCTAGTGTATCATTTACATATAAAGCATATTTCAATAATTTATGTTTTTATTCTTCAGATTACAAGAATAATATTTTAAAAATAGAAATATGAAAAAATCTTACTGATATTCCATATAAACTATATTTGTTGCGAGGACGAGGGCCTATGATGTAGGGGGAGAAGTCTAAATCCACAAGAGGGAAATCAACAAAAGTGGTTTTCTTCTGCATCCACATCCCTTCAGCATAAAACCTTTGAAAGAAAAAAATATGCACAAATATCAAGGTCTTAGTGATAGATCATAATAGTCTCAAGCTTGGTTTGTGGGTCTATGATCACTGCCTTGAAAACCAACTCAATAAACAACTAATACTGAAACTTTCATCAGCAAAAATCACCCAGAGGTCGGTATGGTTGGGTCAGTAAAGTCTCAAGGTTGAACACCTGGGTAGAAAATTGAAAGCTGAGGACAGCAACCCATCTAAGAGAGAAAACTCCAAATCCAACAACTGCTGCCTAAGTTTGTTCTTGGTTGGACAATTGCTATAGAAGCTAATCCGGCAATAAAAGTGGGCTGAAATAGGAGTCAACTGCTCTAATGAAAATTATTCAAGGTAATCTGGGAAAGTTTCACAAACCTGTTTAATCCAATCAGTAGAATAGGAGGAAGTTTCCAAATGTCAATCTTTTTCTTGGAGTCTCTCTCCACTTTACACTGCGGACATTTCCATTTGCTACTTCCTGTCATCAGTTCTGGGTTTAGAAATTCTTTAATACAGTCCTGAAAATTGTGTGTAAATTAAAAACCTTAAGGTACAGCTAAAATGTTTATTACCACCAAGACTTCCATATCTACATAGTTTCAGAACCTTTAAAATATGCACACAATTCTAATAGCAAACCTTCAAAGAGCATTTAGAAGAAGCTGGAATAGGCAGAGACAAAAACATGAAGGCTTGGAAATTGACTGACATCTTTTTGCAAGTTCCACAAGTTAGTGTGGATTTCAGTTGCCCCTGTAGATTGATTTACTTTAGTTGTGATAGGTATCATTTGAAATTGTAGTTTATATTGCATAATTATACCATTTATTACATCAACTTTTAACTTAATGTATACAGTTACATTTAGCAGCAGCCAAAAATTGATGCCAGACACTACACAAGGATAAGTCAACCCTCTCCATGAAATATAACAAATTATGCCATATCTCTGGCTACATTACTCTAAAAATGCCAACCCATTACATCCAGATACACCAACCCTCTAATTTCATTTAGAAAAAGTTCTAAAATCAAAGCAGACCTGTCTACAACACTTTACCTACCTGAAACAATTCAACAATGACAGACTTGTGTAGCAGTTTATGATGTTGCCAGGCTATCTGTGCAGCATACTCATCTGTGAGCCTGTCATTATCTTGTTCTGGGATGGGTGGAGCCTTCTTCACCTGCAGACAGAGATTTTCTTTCATATAATACAATCAACAGAATCTTGATATTACAAAATCTGTTGGGCTAGTCTCACTGCTTTCTGTTTATCCCATTAACACATTCTTGTATCATTATTACAAAAAAGAAATGTTACCCTATTAGCCTCATTTTGGCCATCACATAACAATCAACAAAAAGGTTAACTATTTTCTACCTGTATAAGGTAATATCTATACAAATGTAACACTGTTAAGACAATCATATAAAATCTGGAAACCATGTTACCTCATTTAAACCTTCATGCAACCCATCCAGCAAAAAAGTGAGAAACTCCTGTGAATCCTGTTGCTGGTAACCAGCAAACATTGGATTGTACTGGCCAACTACATTCTGGAAAGAGATTTAATAGCAGCTGTTAAAAAAAGTTTTATATGTTCTTTGATTGAGATGTTTTTATTAGTTCCAGATCTCAGATTTTATACATGATTAAAAAGGGTTCTGAATGCTGTTGTTTTAAAAATTAAAATAACTTAGAACTTGATTAAAATACAGTAGAGAGAATGGTCCCAGAACCAGACATGGTTAATAATTCCATTCTGTAAAATGTGCATAAATTAGACATCTTCCCCCGCAAAATGAAAAATATGTACTTTCATAAAATATGAAGTTCTCCTTTCAGACCAGACAGTCGATGAAGTAAAGAGCATTAGTTTTTTTATCAGGGCATATGAAGGGATGGTGTGGTCAGCATTATACACAACTGCCTTTACTTTCAGGGACTCATCAGAGCTGGGTGGACGCAGGGATGTTTTACAGGCTTCAAGTACAACCCATTTAGTTGAGTACTATACAGCCCGGTCACGCCATCCCATTAAAAAGTACACCAACAACACTAAAACTAGATTTTTAGAAACTGATATAAAGATGACACAAATACCTTCAAATCTCGTGGTGTTATAGATCGGTACTGCTGAGACCACAGAGCTTTTATCACATAGGCAAATTCATCTACCACTTCTCCATGCATTCCTTGAGAGCTTTCTCTGTAGGTTTTCATATGTAAGAAAACAAATATTCTAAGATCTTGTGATTTCACATCCTCTTCTACTTAAAGTGCAGTGTATGTGATGTGTCTTGTGGGTATATGGGTTTCAAGTTAGTCAACTGAGAATTTAGTAGTAGTGGCTCACTAAATCTTCTACAGCCGGCCTAAGTAACAGACAGTAACAAAAAGGTTACCTATTAATGGTGAACAGATGGTTATCTTGAAGAAAGTAGACAACAAGAGGTGATGTGTTGTTGAGGCATTGAATAGTTGAATTCATGTAACAAGTGTTGCCCAGATTTCTAAGCCCGGTGAGTGCAGGACCCTGACAATGTAAAAACTCATTAAGGCATAAAGTTTTCTGTCAGACACCAATGAAAGGTTTAAAATTACTTAAATATATGTCAGCATTATTAGTAAGTGATACCTAGCTTACGTTAACTTACCACATTGCCATAGACTGGATTTAAATCGCGTTTTCGTACAATCTGTTTAGGTCTGAAAAGTTTGTTAATGAAGAAAATCAGCTTTAAAATATGAATATGGAATACATTTGTTAATGGGAACCAAATATGGGAAAAAACTATAAGCACAAAAGAGCATCAAGAAAATGCTTTAAGAAAATTGTTTCTCTCTTGCTACAAACTCTTAAAAGTCCTTTGTTTTTTTGTGCTCTTCTGCAAATCACTTATGTTGGGTAATTTCTAAACCAATACACCTGTTTGTGACAACACAGAATAATACAAGTGTACAGGCCATCTGGTGGGAGTTGTGTACTGGCCATTTGCTGTGCTAAACGTACTAGACATTTGTTGAGAGTTGTGTACTTACAAAGGCTTAATGGCCCTGTTCACAGCAGGAAAATTTTTAGTATTTTCCTCTTCATCTTCTAGTAGCTTTTTAATGTTTGGGGAAGAATGTGAGCGACTTAGTCCACGTGAGCTTAAAACTGCTGGCTCCTCTTTAAGAGGCATCTTGAATGTATCTACACAAGCACACATAAAGATATATTTTTTTTAATATCAGATATATGTAAATAAAGGATTATATATTATAAAATAAGGAAAAAAGTTGAGGAGAATAAAAAAAAGACCTGTGGGTTTAGAAAGTGGCATAGCAGGAGCAGTCCAATGTGTACTCCCATTATTGTGGTCAATGTAGAAGTATCTGTTGGTGGCCGGGTCAAGGCGCTTTTCCCAGCCAACAGGCAGATTTTGTGATGGTACAACGGTCACTCTTGTCTGTCCAGCGGCTAAAGTAATAAGATGCATGTGAGAAAAAATTTTTGATAGTATCCCTAACATCCTAACTCTAATTTTTACCCAACTTGTCAATATACTAGAGCAACAAAATTTGATGATACTGCACATGTATCAAAGCATAAGAAGCTTCATAATTTTCTATTCATATTATATATATTCAAAGGGATTACTATAACAATACACTCCAGAGAGTTCTGTAAAAATAAAAAAAAACGTGTTCCTTACAACTGACAAACATTTTATTTATCAGATATGCATTACGCAAATAAGAAATTATTTTTATCAGATTTGCAATTTAGCATCTGACCAAATCTCGCAACTTTATTTAAGTGTAAACAAAACTGTACCTTTCCCCACAAAGTTTAACAAAGGAACTTTTACAGCCAATTTATGTTGTGGTTTTTACTTAAACATCTTACCTTTATTAAATGAGCTTTCTGGAGTTATTTTAGTCTTTTGTGCAGCTCTCTCTTCCATTTCACGTCTAGCTCTCTCTCTTTCTGCCAATTCATGTTTAGCTTTTTCCTTCTCTTCCAATTCACGTCTAGCTCTCTCTCTTTCTGCAAATTCATGTTTAGCTCTTTCCTTATCTTCCAATTCACGTCTAGCTCTCTCCCTTTCTATCAATTCATGTTTAGCTCTTTCCTTCTCTTCCATTTCTCGCCTAGCTCTCTCTCTTTCTGCCAATTCATGTTTAGCTCTTTCCTTCTCTTCCATTTCACGTCTAGCTCTCTCCCTTTCTGCCAATTCATGTTTAGCTCTTTCCTTCTCTTCCAATTCACGTCTAGCTCTCTCCCTTTCTGCCAATTCATGTTTAGTTCTTTCCTTCTCTTCAAAGTCCTTCTTTGCTCTTTCTTGCTCTTCTGCTAATCTTCTTTTTTCCTCTTCTTCATTTTGTATTCTTTCCTTAATCACCTTTTCTTGAAATTCCTCTCTAATATTTTGATTATCAACACCAGGCCTGCCATCATCGCCTTTATCTACAACATTCACCTCCAACCTGCCCAGGCTGCTCTCACTGTCTTTTGACTTGTTTTTCAGTTGCAGTAGCTCAGCCTCCATCAGCTTTCTTTTTTCTTCTTCCTGTACAACAGAATAAAATAACTTTCTAATCTTATAATTAAAACTAGAAATACAAACAAAGAAAATCAAGAATAATATATAATTAAAGCAAGTGAAACAACACCAATAATTAATGGCCCTGTTCACAGCAGTTTGTAAAACTGACTTCTTTAAGCTTTCTTTCCATATCTTTCAAATGTGTGTCTTTTTTTCTGTCTTGCCGTAGTTTCTCCACTTCTTCCATCCTACGCTTCTTTTCTGCTTCGTCACGTTTTGCCTCTTCTAAACCTAGAAGCCTGTCAAGATTTTCAAGTTATTTTGCTTGTTATAAAAAATGTTATGCTGCACTATACATCGATTTTTTAAAGTTCTATTAAGTAATTCCAACAGTCATTAGATCAGAGCAAATACAATAATAACAACAGTAAGTTAATCATTTCCACCATCCACTATTCAATTAGCAATTTTTTAACATCATTAAAGCCCTTCTACATGAGTGACCTAGTCATATTTGTTGGTCATTTTCAGCAGGACTACTTAATCTAAAAATGTGTATTTTATGTTTTACATATCATTTCAGTATCTGCATATTTGACCTCACCTTTTTTCGTCTTCCAAAGAAAGGAATTTTCTCTGGTCCTCCTGTTGTTTAGCTTCCTCATCAAGATTCTCCTTTAACTTTTTCTTTAACCTCAGCAGAGCAGCTACATCTTTTTCTTCCTTCTTTTTCATAAGCTGAAGATCTTTCAAACTTTTCTCCATGTCCTCAACCTTGCTTTTGTCTGGTCCTGGCAGCACATCAGTATTTGGCTGAAATTCTTTCCCCCCATTCTTCTCTCTCTCTCCTTTACTAATATCGGAGACCAAGTTGTTTTTTATTGTTAAGTTGCTGTTTTTAGGTCCATGGGCCAGTAAATCATTGTTCAAGTTTGTACTTTTAAATGATTTCATGTGAACAGATTCTAAATTGTTCTCAAGTTGAGAAACATTTTCAGCAAATGAATTCTTTATATATGGGCTTAAATCCACATCTTCTGTCTTTGATGGCTTAAGTTTACGATCAAATTGTGGAAATAGTTTTAACTCTGAACCTGCTGAATTGCTACTTTCTAAAGCAGGTAAAGGCAGCTGGGCTGGTTGTAATGGCAGCTTGGCTGGTTGTAAAGACACAACATCTTTTGGTTTTAACTTTTCATCCAAATCTGGGTAATCAAAGTCCACTGGTGACATAAAGAATCGATTTTTATACATTTAACTTCAACAACATACAATAAATTGTTATATAATTTTATCTATAATCCATCTAATAAATTAGCTACAACATTTAATGGGAAAATCAAATATATTACAAAACAAATTAATTATTGGCGGGGTTGATTTAAAGATCATAAGCCATAATTTTAAGTTCTTTTACCGCCACATAAAAACTGTGAACTCATTCTTCTTGTACTTCTTCTTTCCTAATATTTATTTACGGAGGAGTCAGACAAGTCCAAAATGGTGGGCAAACTGGGCAGTGGTCTCCAGACCAGCAAGTACCCCATACAACATTTTTCTGAAAAGTGTGCTTATGAAAGGATACCCAGGTATGTTTGAGCAGCGAACCATGAGGGTTACTACTGCAAATCTGTAACAGTTCAACACAACTGTATGTCATTCAAAACAGGTAAAAAGGAATCAATGTCTACTTACAGGTTACAGTAGGTGAAGGAGGTTTAGCAGGGATGGAGTCACTAGGCCTTATCACATGGGGATTTGTAGTCAGTGTGGGATAAAATAAAAGCCAGGATTCATAGCCTCCATCCAGCACAAGTGGCTCTGATTTGATGATGCAGCTGGTGTCAAACTAGTAGATAAGAAAGGTGGTGTCAAGCTAGGACAAAAATACATTTCCATATCCAATATGAACTAGCATTCCATCACAATTTTTTAAGTGTTTAATGTCCTTTACTTAGCATATTTTTTTAACGCTCCAATGCAAATAATTATGTACCTTATAGAGTGCATCCTTCAGAGTTTTTAATGGGTGGCCAATTGAAATATTTTCTAAAGTAGAATTCCAGTCTAATAAAATTATATGATCTGCATTCATTCGTTGAGACCACGAGGTTGTTGATTTGCTGGGAAGATTAGCACTTATGTGTTTCACAGTTGAGCTATAGGAAAAAAGATACAACAGTTAGCTTAATTATTTTTGCACATGGAAAAATTAAAGATAAAAATATCCGGTCAACAATATGATTTTTTGGAATTAAGGTATTATTGATAAAAAAAATTCATAAAAGGAACCAGTCATAACGCCCTTTTTAAGTAATCAAGCCATTTTCAAGTTATTTTCTCTATAATAAAAGTCAAGATTAAAATAAACTAAGTGATAAAAGGGAGCAGGATTTCACCTCCAACCCAGAACAATTACCCCCATACACTGCCCAAAAAAAGACTACTTCCTGTTAATTAACTGACACCCCCCCCCCCCCTCAAGATTTAGAGATACAGAAAAGAAATAAGGATAAGTTAGAGTTAGGATGAGGGTTAGGGTTTTAAGGATAGGATTAGCAATAGGGATAGGGGTTAGTGATATTGTTAGGGTTAGGATTAAGAATAAGGATAAAATTAGGTACAGGTGTTAGTGTTAGGGATAAAAATGGAATAAGGGATGTGGTTAACTATGGTGGTGTTTGGTGTATGGGTAGGGATTTGATTAGAGTTAGCAGGTAATTGACAGGGAATAAAGACAGGCTATGACCATTATTTGGTTTGATTGTCACAAAAGTGTGGCTTAAGTACTTTTACGCTCTTCAAAAGTTAAAATGTAGTTATACCACTCAAAACTAACATGTTTACCACATTTTTTTTAAAGACAGCTGCACCTTTTCAAAGGATCTGGATACAGGAAACTAACAAGGTAGAAGGGTAAAATTAATATTGACTTACCCAGGTGATATAATTTCTGCAGGGACACTAATGCAGTCCGAATGACTTATATGTGATGCATTAAAATCTTCAGCTGAGCGAACATCCATGATAATTACTTTAGCTGTATTGTCTCGAAGTAAATTACAAAGATTTAAACTGCTGATTGAACTTGGGTTTTGTTTTAGTGAAGTTACCTCTGAAAATATTTTTTTTTAATTAAATGAAGGCAATGATATGGTTTATTGAGACCTGCAAGCCTGTTAGGCTTAAACATTTGAAATTTAAGCAAGCAAAGATGAAAAGATGAATGGATAAAAAATTAACTTTAATGTATCTCAATAAAATTAAAATAATCACAAAACATTGCATTTCAAGTGCTCTAAAAATTGCCAATGCCCTATTCTTTTTTTAATGTAGCATTCATAACTTATCCATTAACATGTTTAGTATCAAAGTTAAACAAAGGGATCTATACCTGATTGTGTTTCCTCCAGTTTTTTATTTGACTCCTCAACACCATCTTTAACATTCTCACTCACAGCAATTTCTTCATCTGCTTCTAGTACAGACAATGTATTGGCAATTGCTTCAGCTTCTTTTAGATCATATCTGATAATGTGAAATATAAAAAACATCAGAGCTGTGAGCCCAAATAAGGACTAAAAGTGTAAACCATAATTTGAATGTTTAATTTAACTGTTTACTACTTTAAGGGAATGACCATCTTCAAATTTTCATGATAATTTCATAGTAATATTCTATAATATTTTTAATTTAATATCATAGAAAATTGTTAACAAGTTTTATGATCATTCAATGTAAACTATTTGTAATAAGTTAAATTCATAGCATTAAAAAGGTTGCCACTGTTTCAAAACAAAACTAAAATGTACAACAGTGAATTCTAAGATGTGTCTGGTTGGACATAAAAAGAAATTAAAATACGGTGGTGGAACTAATGTTTTAATACCTTTCTTTTAAACTTTCAGCAAGTTTCTCTGCTCGTTCAATAGCTTTTACTTGATTAGAACTCCCTATCAGTTTATCAAAATAATCCTGTGAATAATTAGATCATATTTACAGACACATAATCCTTGTAAGCATTACTGTTTGAGAAAATATATATGCAACAAAATAGAAATTAAAGTTTCAATAAAGCTTAAAATGTCAAATCTGTGAATCTTGTCTATATCCCTGCTGTGTTTTATTGTAAGAATAGTCGAGAAAGTTTAAGACATATCACCCCCGTTTTATTTTAAGAGAAATGAAAATTGAAGAGTAATTGAAAAAAGAAGGATGAGATCAAATGAAACTTCAGAATGTGTATCCACATCTCACTTAGCCTAGCCTGACATGAGTCTGACTATTTTGAGAAAATGCAAAAAAGTTGCCAAAAACCTGTAAAAGCAGAAAGAGCCTACTGTGGCGGCCCCATGTGTCCAGAGTAGTGAAGGGGAAAGACGTTTTTTTTAAAGCAGTAAACTCAAAAATATATTTTGTATGTTAATTCACAATTTTGTTTATCTCAAATAATAGTTCATGGGAAAGCTTACTTTTTGTTTTTTATACTCTGGTTTGGATTTTACGAGACGAAGCAGATTAAAGTATTTTATGTAAAAAACAAATGCTCTCTCTTCATCTCCCTGCAAGTCATATGCCTCTGCATCTTGAAAAACTTTGTTGTTTGATTTAATAATGCTGGAATGAGAAAAAAAATATATTATGACCTGAAAAATATGATAAACATGATTTTTTCTTGTAATATGTTGCTATTATAAATGCAGAGAACATGTGCTAAGTTAATACATTTTCTAAAAACTCCCAATAATAATACCATACAGGCTGTACTTTTCTGTTACTCACTATGAACAGGCTCAGACCTAAATTGTTTGTTACATTTCTTTTAAATTGCTTAGACAGTTGCTCTAATATATATTTATTGTAAACAACTAAGAAGGATTTTGATGCCTTTCATACTTACATAGCAACATTATTTGTTGAAAGTGTTTTCACATCACTTAACTTGTGCAAATCTCCAAGACATTTGCCCATGTACAACTCTTTTTTTTTTGGCATTATGTCAGCTAAATAGAAAAAAATATTGTTTATTTTATTTCAGATTTTACATTCATACATCAACATATCTATGATTTTGGATTCAAAATGACACTTTTTCTGTCTGTTACAACAAGTTGTGTTCATCGAATCATACTCAAATACACACATTATATCAAGATATCAAGCAGATAAAACAATAACAGATATTCTCAAATATCGTCCACCCTAAATTGTCTGTATTCATTGTCTATGCTTTACTCTACATGTAGTACAGTCACATAAAAATCTACACTCTGACATCTCACATAAACTAAATTTAGAGTAATCATAAATAATTAAATCATTAAGCATATCCTATAACTAAAACTAATTTTTGTTTACCTTATGTTTGAGGTCTGCTTAAATATTATGATTTGTCATCCACCTAAGGTTTGTGATCTCCCCTCGCTCTGATTAATTCGACCAAGAATGTTTCCTTTTTATCTATAGTTTTTTTTTAATTAGTTTATCAGCAGCATTTCCAATAAAAAGAATTTCAGATAGTAGACCAATGACTGCAATGAGGGTTTAAAAGAAAATTCTTTTATAGTCCTCCAAAAGTCACTAGTACAAGGTAGGATTTGCTATATAAACAGCGGCCATCTGTAAGTTAGAGTGGTTTCCCCTGAATTTCTAACTATAATTTTACCCAAAAAAATTAAACAAGATTTGCTATAAAAGTAAATGAGAGAATGTGTCTGATGAAAACATTACTAGTCTTTATTTTTTACTGAAAAAGTTTTAATACAAGTGATTAAAAACAGGTAGCCTACATTAATGAATTAATCATTCGGGCCTAATGAAACTTTGAAACATTTTTGTAACTTTAAAAACATGAATCCTCCTAAAAATGTGAAATTATTACTAAAAGGCCAAGGCTATTCCCAGCCGGTTGGGGCTATTCCCAGCCGACTGTGAATAGCCCCAATACGGCTATTCACAGTCGGCTGTCATTTCATGTTAAACACGACTGTGAATAATATTTTAAAATAATAAAAGCATTTATTGTGACTGGACAATGAGGTATAGATCAAGAGAGCAGTGCTATTTTTATTTTGTTATATTTTTATAAAAAAGTTATTAGGCCTACGGTTAAAGTTTAGCTTAGCTTTTAGGCTCATATCAGACATATATCTGCTACAGGCTACGTCCAGTGTTTCTTCCAGACTTTTTTCTCCGGGGGGGGGCACTTGAAATTTTCGGGGGGGGCGGTAGACTTTCTTCGGGGGGGGGGGGGGGGGCGGACACTGTTAAAAGTATATATTTTCTATATAAATTATATAAATTTCATTTCGTTCGGGGGGGCGGTAAAAAATTTTCGGGGGGCCCCCGAAGAGATGCCTAGAAGAAACTCTGGCTACGTCTATGTAGGTCATAGACGATCAACTATGCACTCTAAATCTATACACTAGAATAATAGATCTAGTAATTTTTTAAATAAATAATACTAATTTACTATCAGTTTAGTTGGTTGTTCACATTGCTAGTGAACTATCAATTACCATTAAAAATTCACATTATCACATAGAATAAATATAGATCTAGGTGAAATAGGATGTCCTTTTTCATCAGCTATAATTCACAGTTTCCATCACACATTTGTGTTTTTTCTCTTAGCAAAAATCTACGGGACAGGTCTTTTTTTTTCTTTTTTCTGAAATGTCAACAATAACAGAAAATCTGACAGAAGAGAGAAGACTCATCATAAACTTTATACTTTATGAGTATGATCATACTAGAAGTGACTAGTTGGATGCTGGTAGCACCAATACTCCCATTAATACATCAATGGCGAAAGTTTCTAGGCATAGAATCTAGATTCTAGATCTTGAGTCTAGATTAGTAGATCTAGATCTAGATCTTGATCTCGCAGAAGTAAAAATTTGTTTATTATTTGGAAATCACCGGAAGCTATTGTTTTCAATAACACATCAGAGAGCAGCAGCAGCAGTTAAAAAAAATAGAATACTACCACTATTTCAATAAAGCAGGGTTTCAAAAATTTTCAGCTCGAGGGCCGCATTAACTATCAAATATCAGTTCGGGGGCCGGGGTTTCTTCCCGGCATCTCTTCGGGGTGGCAGAGCCCCCCCCCCCGCCGAAGAACGTCTACTGCCCCCACCCCCCTACGATATTTAATTTATAAATAAATAAATATATATATATAGGCCTATATATATATATATATATATATATATATATATATATATATATATATATATATATATATATATATATATATATATATATATATATATATATATATAAATATCAGGGGCGTAGCGAGGGGGGGGGGCGGGGGTGCGGACCGCACCGGGTGACACCATTTAGGGGGGTGACACCAAGGCAAAAAATAGGAAAATATATAGAGAAAAACTTGAGGGGGGGTGCAAATCGAAAGTTCGAGGGGGGTGCCAATCGAAAACTTGAGGGGGGGGGGGTGCAAATCGAAAGTTTGAGGGGGGTGTGCAAATCGAAAATTTGAAAGTTTGTCCCCGGGAAGGGTCGCTACGCCTCTTGGGGGGTGACACCATTAAGTGCCGCACCGGGTGACACCCGACCTCGCTACGCCACTGATAAATATATATATATATATATATATATATATATATATATATATATATATATATATATATATATATATATATATATATATATATATATATATATATATAGGCCTATATATATATATATATATGTATATATATATATATATATATATATATATATAGCCTATATATATAGCCTATATATATAGCCTATATATATATATATATATATATATATATATATATATATATATATATATATATATATATATATATATATATATATATATATATATATATATATATATATATATATATATATATATATACACACATTTCAAAATAAACCCTGTCGGGGGTCGACAACACTTTTGAGGTCCAAGTTTTTTCTCATATTTTTCTTCAAGTACTTCATTCTTGAAAATGTTTGTTCACACAGGTATGTTTTTACAAAATTTTAAAGGTTCTTTGATGCAAAAGTTTTAATATTAGGAAAATCTTCCTCTGGCTAATACCTGAAAAACCCACCCGCCCTTCTTCGAACGTGTCTCTAAGGTGGGCATTTGCTGGGCAACTAGCCACATTCGCTTCAAATGGGGTTTGAGTCTCACTTCTTCTGCCCTGTTAATCCAAGCCAGAAAACCACCACTGAAATTGCAGCTGGACGTCTATGATGAAAACGCATGCAAAAAAACAACTCAGCTGTTGCTTCAGCCATGAAGACCTTGCACTGCTGAAAGTGCGTCAAGTTGTTGGCCTGTACTTGTTCCAAAAACAACTAGATTTCCCTCTTTTGTAGTTTTAGTTTCAGAAAATGTAGATGTGAGTGCAGCAGAGGCCAATTTCTATACCCACTCTTCGTCAGACTAATGGCTGGGGCTTGACTTTACTTTCCAGGAAGTAACCTATTTCCTTTTTTTCTCATACGCTTGTCTAACCAAGCCTTTCTTTATGCAACTCATGTACTTTCCTCCATCACCAAGTTAGTCCAGTCCAAGTTATTAATTAGCACATTTTTTTAAACTCATGAATATATCCTCTTCGGTAACAGTGCCATAGATGTTATGTAGGGAAGCCAGCTCTTGTGTTATGTTCATGTCTTCATCCACACCTCTAATGAACACATGCAGTTGAGAGGTGGAACAGCTGTCAAGTGACTCATCCATGGCGAAGCTTACTTGCATTTTTGGCCATTTGATTCACAATGTTTTCACTAATGTCTGCAACACGGCGGGAAATTTTATCTGCACTAAATGCTAACATTTTCAATTTGTTTTGAATTTTTCTTCAGCCACCTCCAACAAAGCTTTTTTTTTTCGTGGAAAAAAATATCTCCGCGGGCATGATGAGAGGACCTCGCGGGCGCCGACCCGCGGGCCGTAATTTGGAGACCCCTGCATTAAAGTATTAAAGTTTGTTTTATTTTTTATGTTCAGCTTTTGGCCGAGACTATTTCTATAATACTTCCTTTCCTTTTCATCTCAAAATCAAGATCTAGTTGTCAATAATTATTTTAAAATCGAATTTATAGGTACCATACTATGAAATGAAGATAACTTTGTGAGGGTTGGGGTAAACTCGTATTAAAATTGTAGCTTGTAAGACACCACATATGAAGGTGGTATCAGGTAGTTGTTGCTTCCCTTGCTCCCCTCACCTGTCCACGTGCTCATTTTAATTTTATTGTAGGTTCACTGTTCTGGGCATCTCAAATTAAACTAAATACACACTCCCAGAAGATTACACTAGTATTATAATCAAAGAATACTTTTGTTTTTTATAGATAGACGTAAATAGTAATATGGGGGGGTTATCCATAAATGACGTCACGCTTTATTTGGACGGTCCCCCACCTACCCTGCACACATCGTCACAAAAAGTTAGACCCCCCCCTGAAAGAACCTTACACCTCAACCTTCCCTCCCCCTCAAAATTGCAGTTGAATATTTCTTAAAACATCGATACAAAATCTTGTCTAAACTCTGTCAACATAGAGTATTTTAATAAATTTCTATTACAATTTATTAAAACACTTTTCTATAATGCGAAATAACTCCAAAAATTCATTTTCTAGCATTGCTTTTTTCTAATGCAAAAATGTGACGTCACACCATTTGAACCCCCCCCCCCCGTTACGGGTTGACCCCCCCCCCCCCCCCCCCCACCCCTACGAGTGTGACGTCATTTATGGACGATCCCTATTTCCAGATCAAACATAGGTGCAGATTGTACCAATTATTGTGTCGCAATAATACTTGACCCCTATAAGACTAAACAATCTGTAGTCCATAATCGACATACTTTTATAAATGATTTTTTACCCCACACCAAAATTCAAATGAAAAAAAAGGTAATAATTTCAAGTAGGCCTATACATTCTTTGACAACATTCTATCTCTGAAAGAGTTTTGAATCTATTGATTAAATTAGGACTGTTGGGTGCATGTGTCAACTTTCCCAACTGACCCAAAAAAAACTAATTAGATACAAGTACAGATAGAAAAATACCACGCTTATTGGACAAAAATACAGATTAAGACATTTACAAATCACCACAAGAATCAATCTTTAGTTAGACAAAAAAAATGTATAAAGAAATATCACCATCCAAACAGAAGCTCAGACCACTAATTAGACAATAACAGGCATACAGACTACAGATAGCATGTATAGGCTGTATATTGAAAAAAGTAGATATTAACAAACGCATTAGGTAGTGAAGTCGACCATCAAACTGCCAGCATAGATGAGGGGATTACTTCAATCCCAAGTTTTATTCCACACTCACCCTTTACACAGAAATGGGTGAACTCTACTTCACCTGTCCCATCAGCTTTAAAGGGAACTTGTATTTCCTTTTCAAAACATTACAGATGAAAGCATGATTAGGTTTTAAATCGTCACCCATGCAGGTCAGCATTGGCCGACTCTTCTGGACCTTTTTAACTATACACTTGCATGAAACTAAGTGGCATGAAGCTGCAGATTTTATTAAAATATAAACTACTCAAAATTGATCATTAACTTGTACAATTTTAGACAAATACAGTTGCAAATAATGTTTTCAATGCTCTTTTTATTTAAACAAGTAGTGATGTATAAAATCAACACTTGGTGTTTGTGCCATTCTACCAATCATTCCTCTCAAACAAATTTAAAGTAGAGATGAATGATTTAATCAATAATTTTATTAGAATAAAAAATATAACCATCACATGAAGTAGACAACACTGCAGGTTACATGACACAGATAGGCTTTCATCCTTGATTTGAACATCTCACATGACATCCGAGTCAGTCTACAGCCAAACACCTTACACCATGCTCAAGCATCTACTGTAGTGTACTGTAATGAAAATTTCCCTTATAAAATTTGAACAAAAAACAATCACACAAAGAAACAAAATTTGAAGAGCCTGTGGCATTCTTCAAGGTTATAGCTTCTCTACAACTGCTGTCCAAAATTAATGAAATAGGTCAACCTGCACGTGTAAAACCTGCTTTCCATTTGTGCTGCACCTAACACCTTCAACTATATCCTTTAGATGACGAAATAACATGTGCATTTATTCTTGTTTCACATGAAATTCTAGGGAAAATTTCAAATCCTAGACATCTGCTTTACTCCTAACACCATGTCCAACCTACCTGTCTAGAAGTAAATGTTCTTTGTTATTAAATAATAGCCTACAGAAGAAAATAATACATTTACACACCTGCTTTGCCCCAACTCCATGTTCCACTATCTTCTGTAATAGTATCATACACTATACATATTTGCTGTGCCTGTTGAGGTGGCTGTACGATAAACAAAAACACTGAACTTGCATACCTAGTGGTCTCAGATTATTTCAGTCTGGGGAAAAAAATAATACATGATCAAATGTCTGTTTTGACCCAAATCATACTGACAACAAAAAGTGATTAAAAATTGTGATACTTAGAAGATTTCCTGCGTGTCTTCTGAAAGAAAAATTTAAGGTTAAGTGCGCAAAAATTAACTACAGTCAATAAAACATGTAGAAAAAGGATGTCCAAAATGAAGTACAAAATATGGTCAAACTACCTGTCTCAAAATAATTGTTCCTCTAGGCATCACGAGATCCATAGTTTCAAGTTTGTTCCAATTCCAAGCTGGGCATAAGACCTCATCTTTGCTGAAAACACCTTGTCCACACAAAAAAAAAGCTTTGTGGTGGCTGAAAGGGGGGGGGGGGAGGAATCGCATGGCTCTGTAAAATAAAATTAATAGTTTTCAAAAATAAATTCAGTGAAATATGTTTTAAACATGGCTGTACAAAAGGATTAAAAAACGGATCAACTCACCTATCTGGAAGATTCATTTCTCTTGGCATC